TAAATATTTCTTTTACATTAACTCAACTGTACTAAGAACAGACATGGTTTCATTGACAAGGGGTGCTACTAATTAGTGTAAGAGCCATGGGTGCAGCCTCCAAAAAAAGTTAGTATACTGAGTATAGAATAAGAGTTCAGGATTATTCATCCTGTAGATAGTGGTGACCTTGATCAGCAAACACTCAAAATAACATGTTTAATGTACCACGCTTAGCTAGTGTGAAACCTAGTCATTTTAAATGCCGATAGAAATTTAACATTCTGATAAGATTCAAAATAATCTGTACTATATTTAGAAAATGTACTCTGTAAAACGCCTTAATTTCTTGTTTTTATCCTATAATGAATGAACATAGTCGTAGCCTGAGCAAAATCTTCAGTAGGGAGGTAAAAGGGCCAGGCAAGATATATCTTAGAATATAGGAAGCACAATAGTTTAAAACGCTAGGAACCGGGTTATAGGTATAGCATTAGGAAATAAGAGATGCGAGTATGTCCAAACAGCGAATTAATAGCCTTTTTTTTTAATATAGCCGATAAATAATAAAAGGCATTCCAGCACAGCTTATAATAATAACCAAATATTTATACAGCATTTGGAATGAGTGATAGATACTCAAGATAAAGTGAGTAGGCAACGGTTAATAGTGATTTAGATAGATAGTGCACAGAGTTTTGCATTTGTCAAGATTAAAGGTCATGCCGCAAGTTGAGACCCATTTTTCAACACGAGTAAAGAAATGCTGCAGGGCTAATTGGACATCCTTACTGTAGGTCACACAGTAAAATAATGCATCTTCAGTAAAAAGGCGTACATAAGTAGCACCATCATCTACACTTATTAGATCAATAATAAAGGTTGAAAATAATAACAAGTCAAGCACAACAAGAACCCAGGCGCATACACATGATGCAACTGCAACCATTCTTTTTGACACAGAAAATTTCGAATTTCCTTTTAAGGAAGTCAGAAATCCAGTTCAAGGTAGTAACGTCCAAACCCAAGTGATTAAGTTTGATAACCAAAAGATAACGAGAAACCCTCAATTCCCTCTCAAGGGCCTTACTGAATCTAGAAGCACTAGGTAAACCTGTTGAGACTTGTCAAGACCTAGATATGTCCAAATGTAAAGAACATGAGCGGGTAACAGTAGAAAAGCCATGTCGAAAACCATGTTGACGATAAGACAGAATGATATGTCTATCAAAATGAATCCCCACAGAGAAATAGACTAAATGCTCAATTGTTTTTGAGCAAAGAGAAGTCAAAGACATTGGGTGATAACTTGAGGTAAGGTATCCACCGGTTTAATAAACTAGGGTAATGAAAGCGTTTTTCTCCAATTGAAAAGAAGAAACCCTAGATGATAGTACTGACAGACCAAAGTTTACACTAATTGTAGGCCTAAGCTCGCATGCAAAATGATTCAAATTAAAACCAGGCACCTTATTGAGGGCCAGAAGCCTTATACATGTGGGGATTTGTTGTTTAAGCACCAAACACACAATGCTGCCAGCGTTAACAATGATCTCGTCGAGAGCACTTATAATTTTAACATGGAATATGTTTATAATATCAAATGATTAAAATATGGTGTAAACTTGGGCTCATAAGGTCCATGTCCCCCAGGGTACTGCCGGAACGTAACCTGGGTAAGGTCCGGTATACCGGAACGTACCCTGGTAACTATCTGATATGGTTAGCTTAGGGTTAGGGTTAGGGAGTAGGCGTAGGCGACTCCCTAGACTCATTAGTGGAGTAGGCGAGGTATGGTCCGGCATATTAGATAGTAACAGGGTACGTTCCGGCAGTACCCTCGGGGACATAGATTCATAGACCCTCTCAGCACAAGTTACCTCCTCACTATGTGGCGAGTAGACCTACAACGTGAAACAGTCATAGAGCCTGGTCGGGAAAGGTGTTAACTATGATTAATGTAGTAAATAAGATGTCACTCAAAATAAAATGTTGCAAAAGCCAAACACATAACTTTGACATCTATTTATCTCTGAGTATAGACCATTCTTAATTATTATTCATGACCTGGGGTCCCGCACGAAAACGAGGATAAGCTAGGCAATTTTGTAAACAATGGCTGCTCAGGCAGGCACGCACAGAATAGATACACGCACGTACACGCGGGTACACACACGTACACGCACGTACATGCACGTACACGCACGCACACGCGGGTACACGCACGTACACGCAGATACAGGCACGTACACGCAGATACACCCACCTACACGTACACGCAGATACACGCGGGTACACGGAGATACACGCATGTAAACCTGGCTCTCAACATTGGAGACTGTGAATCTCCCGTGGCTCGGATGACCACGTAAAATGGCAGTCCCGTCTCCAGTAATACTAAGGCCAAAAAACGTAAAAGAACCACTGAGGGTGCAAAAAAACTCTGGCTGTGACCACCCTCAGTGCCATTTGGCTAAAAGGCTAACTACCTGGCTTTACCCAAGCTAGGTCACACCCCATGGCTAGCTATAGCAACAGGCACTTGGAACGTCTCAATAACAAACAAAAAGTAAACACGAAATGTATTTACTACCAAAGTCTTAATGTTTCTCTACTCTATTTCGCCTATTATTGCCGATAATTACCCGCAAATGCCTGTCAAATGCTCATCTGCAACACACAAGTGCACCGTACGCCCGCCCTGTGCACAAACAACATGAATAAGAGAGCAGGTAGGAAAGCGTGATCGCAAAATTTGCTCGACGCTCGCTTAATTTCACACGACTACAGAACGAAAACACATCCAACAGCTTCCATCTTGGTATCTATGTGTAGCTAAATGTTCACTTGTTCGAATTATAACTCTGTCCTTTGTTCTTACTTACTACCGCCAGAGATATCTCTTGAAATCCTGCAGGAAATGTTCAAAAAAGCAAACACAGACAAGCTGGAAAGACTCCATTGTAGAGCATTGAAATTTGTATACCAGGAACATAACAGCTCATATGAGAAGCTTTTACATAAAAATAAAACAAGTTCCCTGCACCTTGGGCGTCTCCGAAACATTGCCACAGAGACTTTTAAAATTATTCACGGACAGTCCCCAGTTTATTTAAAGAATTTTATCCACATGCGGAAATCTGCGTACTCTTTTAAATACAAAAATGTCTTAACCACACCAAATACCAGAACTGTGACATATGGCACAAATAGCTTTAGAACATTAGCTGCAAAGGTGTGGAACAGTCTGCCAGAAAATGTCAGACAGACTGTATGTTTTAACGAGTTTAAAATGTCTATCAAAACATGGAATGGTTTTGCATGCAAATGTGCAATGTGCAAATGATCTTGTAATCTGCAGTATGTTTTTTAGTAACCTGACACACATGTTTTTAGTAACCAGCAACATCTGTAACTGTTGCTATAAATTGTAAATATATCTATGTAAAATTGTAAAATTTAAAATTGTAAGTATGCTATTAATCGTATTGCATCTATCGCATCGTAAAATCGCATCGTAAAATTGCATTGTAAAATTTAAAATTGTAAATATGCTATAAATTGTATAGCATCTATAAATCGTATTGCGTAGGCCTACTATCTAAAATTGTAAGTATGCTATAAATTGTAAATATCTATACCTAAAATTTATTCATGTACTCGAATGCCTGTATAGTATGCATGTTTTAAAATTGTTATGTACTGTTTTATTTATTGGCAAACCTTTGTTAGTTGGTCGGTCTTAAAAGCTCTTCAGAGCTTACGTTTCTCGTTGTAAACATACCGACTATAAATAAAGATTACTTGAACTTGAACTTGCCTGTGCTGTGGCTATAGCCCTGGACAGTGGACGTTTATTCCTTACGGAATGTCCCTGCGTTATTATCCACGTAACCGTGGGCTACGCAGTAAACTATCCAGATCCAGATCCAGATCCAGATCCAGTAGCCACCATGCCTGATTTACCTAATTTACCTGATTCCACCCCTCACCTGTAAGTTTGGAGTGGATCGAAGGGTAGGAAGACTACTGTCTTGTATAAACCCCTAGACCGAATAATTCTGTCCCATATAACCTTTTTTATATTTTGGTGAGGGTTATTGGGACAGAACGGGGTTCATTAAAATTTCGTGAGATCGCATGCAAAATGCATGCACTGCGAATGCGGCCCGTACGCCGCTATTTGCGCGAAAAAAAACCTACCGTTCCCTTCTACATGGCAATTTACCTTGCTACTGATATGTGTATACATTCACTTCAACCGTTATTCACTTCTTAAAAGATTGTTTTTAAGAAACCCCGCTTCCACTTTCCTAAATCATTCGCCATTTACAAACAATCAGACCAATCAGAGCGAGTCTATCAGCCCTCCTGCAGCGCCACAGATACAAGCGAGAACCAGGATATTGTAAGACTCGCTCTGATTGGTCTGATTGTTTGTAAATGGCGAATGATTTAGAAAAGTGGAACGAAGCGGTTTTTGAAAAACAATCTTTTAAGAAGTGAATAACGATTGAAGTGAATGTATACACATATCAGTAGCAAGGTAAAGCCATGTAGAAGGGAACGGTAGGGTTTTTTCACGCCAATAGCGGCGTACGAGCCGCATTCGCAGCGCATGCATTTTCCATGCGATCTCACGAAATTTCAATGAACCCCGTTCTGTCCCAATAACCCTCACCAAAATATAAAAAAGGTTATATGGGACAGAATTATTCGGTCTAATAAACGGCCCCATCCTTACATATTCATCCACATGCAGACAACATTGCACGTTCACTCACTCACTCACTGTACTCAGTCATAGTTCTAGTAAGTGTAATTATAGCCCGCGTACAGTTACCAGCGGCAACTGTACGCGGGATATAGTTACTAGAGCTAACTAAGTCATAGCTCTAGAACTATAGCCCTCCGCTCCGCCGCAGCCCTGGCTATACTAGCGAGTAGCGGAGGGTTGTAGAGCTAACTCAGTCACAGCTGTTTATAAACACTGTGTTTACTACTAGTACTACTAGGCCTACTCACCACAGCTTTCGGGCTTGTCATGTTGGAGAAAATAGGTACCGGTACTGTGCGTGAATGTGTTTAGGACAGCACTGTAACAGTAGATTGATAACCGAACCTGAGCCTCTGAGAAATAACGTGATTATGCGTAACCTCGGCCTTGATTTAATTTTTTTACTCTTCTTCCTCGACCCTCTGCTCGAACTCAACTTGTTGTTGTTGCTGCTGTTGGTTTGACGTCACGAACAAGTGAGCATGACTAAACATCATCATCGTCAAATTCGTCAGTGCCACGAACGCAGAGCACCCGGCAGTTAGATGCGATATTATATGACTACTAGGCACTTAGGATATGACTACTAGGCACTTAAAAAAAAAAACCCCTAACCCTAACCCTAACCTAACCCTAAACCTAACCTAAACCCTAACCCTAACCCTAAAAAAAAAAAAATTAAATTAAATTAAAGTGCCTAGTAGTCATATAATATCGCATCTAACTGCCGAGTGCGAACGCAGATACAATTTAAGATACAAGAATCTTTGTCAGATATCTTTGTCAGAATCTTGTCAGATATCACAAACAATAAACGTTAGCCTTGTTGGGCTATTATTCCGACAAACATAAGTAAATAACAATTCCCTAATAATTCCAGAAGTGGAAAAATATAAGATGAATTCCTTTACAGCGCCTTTGGAATAAATCACCCATTGCTCCCTAATTTACACACGTCTACGAATACGCATTTACTATTTAGAATGAAACTCATAATTATCGATATAGCTGTTCATGATAATGAATATATAGTTCGATATAATGTTCATGAACCGTAATATTAGTAAATATTAAATAGTAAATTCGTAAATATATTAGTCTTCAACGTCCACTAGAATATAACGAAGACGGAAAGAGACAAAGTTAGGGACATCAAATAGACAGATCAACACTGCGGTAGAAAAAGCATCAAGTTTAATTGCAACTAACTTAAGAAGAAGGGAACGATAGAATTCCAATATGAAATAACAGAGACAAAGAAGTTAGCGTGATCCTTTGAAGATGGCACGTGTTGAATTAAAGCAGTGATCACGCTCAGATGATCGAGTGCAACATCAAGCAAGATTTTTCATTTAAATGCAAAACATGCATGATTGATCTAAAAGGATACTTTAAAAATAATTTTAGCAATGATAAGTGTAATAGATGTAATAAGGATATGAAAGAAGATATGGAACATTTATATAATTGTGATAGTTATGAAATATATATAAGGAGGGACAACAAATAGATAACTGGAAAAGGGACAGCCATGGAATATTAAAACCACACCAGCATTAGAATATGTAAGGAAAATTCTGGCGATTCGTGAAACTAACATTTAGAAAATTAGAGGCGACGTTTATCCCTTTGTTTTCTAGATAATCCCCGCACTCGTTGATTCGGGTGCCTTGTGAAATA